AAATAAAAAAAAAAAAAAAAAAGCAACTGCAGCAAAAAAAAAAAAAAAGTTATAGAAATCCAACTAAAAGCTGCTGTCAGCTGCTCTTATGTCAACACAAGTGTCGTTATCTGTTAACTAGTGACTCATATATACCATACATGAAGCTTTGATAACTACCAGCTGGGATCCACAATATGGTGGGCAGTGGGAGAATCAGGGTAGAGGTCTATTGTTTGGCAATGGAACAAACAACAGGACACAGGAGGGATAGTGCACTATAAAACAATACTGGAAATGTTTTTTTTTTTTTGTTTTTTTTAAAGAACATATCCAGCCAAGATAAAATCTCATCACACTGCCCAATATACACCCACCTTCAACAAGGTGCCTAAATTCATAGTGAGATGCATGTAATATGAGAAAAGTAGAACTTGTTAAGTGATATTTAGGGTAAACAGGGTTTGTTTTCTGTCACAATAGTAGCCACATGTGCATGCAGAAGATGCCGAAACAGAAGACAAAGTTTTGGGGATTTAACATTTTAGCAAGTTGGCTGAGATTTTCTTGAGGTAAAAATGGGTAGTTTAGTAAGATAGTTTGGGGAAAGAAAAAAAAGACAGCAATGGAAGCACTTCACTGCACAAAAAGCAACTATATTTTTAGCATGTTTCAAATGCAGATTATTTAATATGGTCTCATGATTTTGGGACAATAGCACCATCCTCAGATGGTGGAAAAGGACAGAATTTTTCTGAATTATAAGCTTTTTTAGCCTTTTCTTATTGCTCTATATATTCTTTTAGAAATTATATTAAGCACTGTGTCACTGCAGCAATCATGTCTTTGATAATTTTCTATTATTATTATAAAAGTGATATATATATATATATATATATATATATATATATATATATATATATATATATATCTTACTTCAAATGTATTTACAGTTTTTTTTTAATTTTACTTGAAAATATCTATCAGCCTACATATCCAAGAAATCTTAGTAAAAGAAAATGTGTTTCCTTATAAGGAAACATTCAACATTCATTGACCAAGCTAATGCTGCAGTTGGTTGAAATTTATAAAATCTTTCTCTTAAAACAATTTTTCAGGAAAATAGGTTTCTCAAGTCCAGTAGATCTTATCACTCTTTCCAGTATTGATGGGGCTTCCTTCTTAACGTTTTGTTTGAAGGAGTGTGGAATCTCAACATCGTGATTATGTCATTATTTTCTCTTTGTGTTATATGAGATATCCATTTTAATTGTTTCTGCTGTTGAAAGTCCTCAAGTGATGCATTTTCTGTTATTTGATACATCTCTTTGCTTGTGATTCTGTAGTGCAATCACATAAGGTTCAAAGAAGTATATATTTATTATTGCAAAATATAATAATTGTGGCACATGGCCAAAGGTTCAAAGAGGTATGTTCCTTACTAAGACCTACAGGTTTTGTTTGCTTAAACCCATTTTTAACCACTGATCTGGGGAAGTGGTTGTACAAGCTGACGGTTTTCTGCTGCTGCTGCTAATTAATTACTGATGACCAAAGCAAAAGGATCTTTGGTCATGAGGAACTATCTCTGAAATCCTACTTGTCTTCATTCCAAATTTTGTTTGGACAATTGAACTCCTTCAAGTTCTTGATGATATTAATCACATCTCATCAACCAATCCATTCTTAGATCAACCAAATCATTGCGCTAACAACCTCAAGAACATGAAGGAATTCAATTATCTGAACAAAAATTGGAATGTTAATGACTCAAGTTATATTTGTCTTCCTGTTTTTCCTTACTTCAGCTGTCCAAAGACAAAGTCATATTCGCTACTCTTCAAACAATAAATTGTTCATGAAATTTTATTCAAAACAAATTTCAAATGCTAACTTGAGAAGAATATGGGGGGGGGGGCTCCTATTTTTAATGTACATTTTTTACATCTTGAAATACAAACTTTATATTATCAAAACCTATGTAACTTAGACATATACATAAAAAGTAATAAAAACTTTTTATACTGCTAAAGTACTGTCTAATGCCACAGTTAACTAACCAATGCATAGTCCTATATGGCATGTCTCTTCAGGACATTGGTCTTTATGGCACTCCACAACTTCCTATTGCTTGTACTATTAGCAATGTTTTTCTTTATTTGGCACATACTCTGGTATTTATGAAGTTGAACATTGGTATGGTATTTATGAAGTTGAACTCTATATGCTACATCACATGTATTTGTATATATTTTGTCTGTAACTTTTGGGGGCAATAAAGCAAATAGATATATAAATAAAAAGTGAATCCTACCATGATTCAAACATCAGACCAAGAGATAATATCACAAGTGAAATATCTATTATACCAGTATTCTTCTGCTTAAACAACATTATTAAATACTTAACAGCTAGGCAGAAGTGCACAGATGCTGCACTGATCCCAGGCAAGTGCACAGATGCTGCACTGATCCCAGGCAAGTGCACAGATGCTGCACTGATCCTAAGTAGGAGTGCTGATCTATACATAAATAATTTGGTAATTTTTAACTGATACTGTATACATATATTCATTTAAAACTCCCATATAATATAAATAAGGAGGTAGCAGACATTTTTGACAGCATGGGTAAACTAGTAACAAATATTACTTCTAGGGAAACGTAATCATTTTGCAAAAACTTAAAACAGCCAAAAGGATGTTTGTTTCTGCTATAAGCTTCTAGGAAATAAGTTGAGAGTTGTTTACCTTATATCAGATTTCTTTACTCTTCTGTTAAACAGAAAAGACATTCAACAAGCTGATTTGGCCCAGCAGAGTAAAGAAACAACTGCTCCCTAAAAACCCTTCAACTCTCAGATATTTCAAGTCATTCAATAATATATTAAATACTTTATAATTATTCTAAGAGGAAATGTCAGGTACTGTTGATTTTTTTTTTTCTTGCTTTTATAAAACAAAGTTATCAATATTGAATGAAAGACACTTTTCTTGATCATATAGACGGACATATGCAACATAGAATAACAAAAGTAACTTAGAAATTATGTCAAAAAAGAGCCGCAAGCAAGTATATAAGCAGAAAAGGAAATAAGATGTAATAAAATAAGTGTCATGTAAGTATATAGCAACTCAGCAATTTGTTCAGGCCTTTATCTTTGTTAACATCATATTTTGACTTGACCTATCTTTTCAATATTGCATATATATAACAATATACATGCAAATTCATGTATATCTATGAGAGTTAATCAAAAACTAACACCTGTTCTAATTTAATTTTAACAGTATCAGTAATAAGTTCAAGGAGTTTTTAGCTATAAACCATCGAAGCCCAGTAGGGAAAATCTTTGGAAATACCTTCTCTTTTCCTAGACATAATCTTCTTTCAAAATGGCTGCCTCTTCTATACACACATAGAAAGCAAAGAGCTGTCTTATAATTTCTGTTTTTGAAAAGAGGAAGTGCTGCAAACACTCACAAGAGGTTACTGAATGCTTATGGAAAGGCTCCACTGGATGTAATCACAAGAAGAGTCAATAAAGTTAATGGTAATCTTAGAGAGAGAGGACAAGCTGACCTCAGTGACAGTCCTTGCAGTAGCAGACCAGCAGCTCTTGTGAATTTGGGTAATGCTTAACAGCTGACCAAAAATTGCTATTACAAAACTTTGTGAGGGCATTCAGATGAGTGATGGTCAAGTGCAGTCTCTTAGCTATTAAAATATCTGACAGATTTCATAAAGGAGCAGAGGGTAGTTGCTGCCCAAGGGATTTGGGAGCTGTACTACACAGATCTTCCTAAGCTGGAGAGTACCAATAGGTGAAACCTAAGTTCACCACTATGTGCTACAGAGTAAAACAAGATGCAACCCAGAAAGAAGTTTTAGGTAGCATGTCCCTCAAGAAATGTGATGACCACTCTGTTTTGGGACTGGAAAAAAGAGTTGTACTGTAAGAATTTATGCACAATAGCACCATTATCAATTCTGAATCCTACATGAACACATTGTTGAAACTCAGTGCAAGGTTTTTTACGAGTTAGTTTGAAAATGAGTGATGCAATTTTGCAACATGACAATGCCATGTCTCAGAGGAGCTTAAAGACCAGACAAGCAATCATAGCACATAGTTGAACAAAATAGTCTCATCCATCCTATAGTCCTGAATATGCATCCACAAAGATACATTTTTTTGGTGGTGGGGGGGTCATGAAAGAGGTACTGAGAATATAATAGTTTAATGATGAGGTAAAAGAAGCAACTCACACATAGCTAATAAAGTAATGAAGAAGCTTCTGAAAGTTAGATATATATGTCCTCATTCAAAGGCAGGATGCCATGCCTGAGAAGAAAAGAGGCTCTATGTTGACAATAAAATTTGGAATTTTAAGTCTTATGTTCATTTTTGGTATGCTTTGCATGCTTCCATTTTTAGATCTGTTGTCATTAAAGAAGAACAGGCATTACTGTACATATATACTAAGGCAATATGTTTACTTGTTAAAATCAAACAAGTACCAGGATTAAAATTTACAAGAAACAAAATGTTGAAAATGAAAACTGAACAAATTACTGAATTAAAGAAATTTTTTTTTTTTTTTTTTTCTTTTAAAACTTTTCAATCCAACTATTTTTTTTTCTCTTTATCTATAAAATTTATCAAAGTTTTAAGATTTTTTTTTTCTTTCTTTCATGGCTACTTGGGTGACAGAGATAATCTTTTGTAAGCAGCCATGTTATTAACTTTAATTCAATTTAGGCTGTAAAGAATAATTCAAAGAAAAAGGCAAGGCAAAAAAGGTATAGACTATGTTTCCTTTTAAATTTTATAAGATAAATTATAAAAAAAGTAACAAGAGATGGTTAAATAAAAATTCTCAGGGAACAAGAGAAAAGAAAAAGAAAAAAAAATGGAGGTAGGTATTTTAAAAAAAAAAAGAAAGAAAAAAAAGAAGAATAAAAAAGAAAATCAATCAATTCCCAAAGTCTAAAAAGTTAAGAGAAATTCATAGACTCTACCTGCATCAGTCAGTTGGCTGTCAACTTCAAAAGGAGAGACAGCCCTGGTGTCTGTGTTTATCCAGCGACAAACAGCTAGAAGAAAAAGTTACTGGTTTAAGTCAGTTGTCAGGGGGTCATTAAGACATAAGAAAAACAGTTAACATATACAAGTAGGATGTTTCATTTAAATTTATTAGGAACCAGTGAAATGAAGGTAACTAGATTTAATATTCCTGTATACATAAAATGAAGTATTTCTGTACTGTTTATGAGGACTAACATCCCCCTCTTTTATTGTTCTATCACAATTAGCTTTTAGACAAATATCTGATTTGTCTATTATGCATGTATTGTACAATATATTTGTGCATGGAAAGTGAACTAAAGAAGTCATATATCTTCTTTTTTTTTTCAGTAATTTTCCATTGTCATATTCTTTACACATGTTAAATTGAGTCCTAAGCATTAATGAAACCATTAATTCACATCACAAGAATAATAAAGTTGAAAGAATTTGGAGCATTGAAGCTACTATACAAAATTCAATATGACCAAGTTGAGAAATTTTATACATTTTTTCCTCTCCTTCTTGTGAACAGAATATTTTAAAACTAAAGTTAAATTTTAATAAATTCCATGTTTTAAAAAGAAATTTTTATTTATATATATATATATATATATATATATATATATATATATATGCACACACACAAACACACATTAAAAATCAATTTATAAAATAAACTATTTTCTTATCATATAGAATAAAAATGTCTTTCATTTTTAGAACTTCACCACCAACACCTCTTCAATTGGCATTACCAATTCCTTCCTTTACTTTTATACCCTAATGAGTTAAAAATTCCAAAAAATGAGTAATTTTTTCATTAGAATCTAATTACCGAATTTCTATATGAATTTTGCATGACACCTGATGAGGGTCAGAGAACACACCAGCTGAAATACTTTAATTGAAACTCTTCAGTCATGCTCCATGACATCAGAAAATGATCAAAATTTGCTAATTCAGATTTTAGAAGAAGAAAAAAAAATGCTTAACTAAAATGTGCAAATATTCTTTCTACAAAAAATATTACAAAGATGAAGATGTTAGTCCAAACAAATTAAATATTTACTCATTTTTGGATTTGAGTGACAATTATATTCAAATTGAAATCAATTACAGAAAAAATTTCAAGTTATAATTAATCTTCAAATGTTAAGGGTTGTGGGGAGAGGTAATAATAATAAGATTTTAATTAGAAACCACTTACACAATTGATTTTGATTAAGAAACACTTATAATATTTAAGCATAATTATTTTACGACAATTTTTATGTGCTCTATGTTTAAGTGTTTATGTAAAACTTAATATAAATCAAATATGCCAACAATAAAAAAAAATAACCAAATATTTAACATGGACTAAAGTTCTTGAATACAATGTTGTGAATTGATTAAAACTTCAAAACTAATTTATTCTATTGAAAAATGATGTACATTTATATACAGATACACCACCATTTTTCCAACAACTTATTGTTCAATACCTCATATATTTCATTTTTTTTTAGCTATGTCCCTTCCAAAGGTAGGCAGACATGGCTGTCCAAAGACTCCTTTTCTTTAATATCTGCAAACTGCCATTAACTGTTATTAGGAAAGGAAATTCCAAATTCAGAGTTGTTCACTTTGACTGGTTTCCAACCAAAACTAGAGAACCCAGTTTGCTTTACTATTTTACCCATAGCTGGGAGAAGAGATGGATTTGTGCCTTTCTCCAAGTCATTAGTGCAAAGTAAACACAACCTTGAACAGAATCTAAACTCAATTTACCAGACCATATTCCAGAATAACAACCATTATATCAACAAAATGCATCTCATTTACTTCACATAAAATTATAGCAGTATACTTGAAAAATTGTTGTGAAGTGGTTAACAAAGAATGTATTTTTCAATTAGTATTTATTTGTTCTTGTCTGACAAGGTATTTTAGTCATTGTTTAGTGGTTGTTTCAAACTAATTTTCTTATCTTTATCATTTGATTACTTTCACAATGTTTCAGTCATCTACTATCCAGCCTTCATCCTATGACTTATGTTCTAGAACATTATTTTGGAGAATCATGTAAATCTCTTCTCATATATGTCATATTCAGTGTTTGCATCTCTGAGTTGTTAAAATTGTCTCCTGACTCCCTTTTGAACTTTGCATGTGCTCTCATCTCTCATTTGCTGCTTCCTAATTAATGGTTAGGCTTTAACATCTATGCTCACTTTGATGATTGAGTTATCTAAGTATAGTATGTGGACAGATTCTTTCAACCTTCTCATTTGCCAATGTTTCTTTCTATTACCTTGACTTCATTCCATAAAGGTTGGTTTCATCCCTCTACCTTCATAAAAACTTAAATTGTTTCCATGTTTTTTATTCGGGGAGGGGAGTCCCTACGTAAGTGTCTCATTTTACCTTGTACTCTCTGCAAAAATTACATGGCATATACACAGTTCATAGTTATATTTTCCTCTAGTGTTGTTATGAAGGGGTTACTTAGGGAAGGTAACTGTGTAGCATGAGACTATTGTTCTAATATTGTACAGAGCACATGGTCTCTCTTTCTTCTCTGCCATACCTCTAACATATTATACAGTAAGTGTGGTCATTTGTTTTTTGTGTTGAGTGAAATTGTGCATCTGCTGGTAGTTACTACTGATATATATATATATATATATATATATATATATATATAGTATAATTGTTTCTCCACAGGATCTCCTTTTTATTGGTCAGCTCTAGGTCAGTGACTATATTGTGCTTACTGCTGTAAGCAGTAAATGATCTTATTTTTGTATATAGAATCATAGTTAACATGGAGTGAAGGTTGCTTTATAATAGACAGATGTCTTATGTGGGTTCCTAGTAGATTCAAGGAACACTAGTTAACCATTCATTTCTTTTTCTATAGTGAATTCTACTGAAGAATTTATAGCATTCAAATAGTCCAACAGCATTTCCACATCTTAATGATGAAGTCAAAGTATAACAGTGTCATCATTTATGTGTTTTATCCAGATGAATGGTTTCAAAGGTATAGTTCTAACGGACATTTATAAAGTATTCCAGGAGATGGACACAACAAATTTTATGGAATAAAGTCAAAATAATAAACTGGGTGACACATTAGCAAATTGAAAGAACCTACCCACATACTATACTATGATAATTCAATCAGTAGACTAAGCATAAGCATTAATAGCTAAGAAAGGACAAACAATGAACTTAATATTCTACAGTCACTGCCCAAGTGATGAGAGCAGATACAAAGTTCCATGGGTCATGGGAAGACAATCCCAAGAACACAGAGATGCAAGCACTGGACATGATTTGTATAGGAGGAGATGCAATATGCTCTCACAGAAGATTTAACAACATTACAGAACACAACAAGCAGAGGTATAAGGAAGGATGGATGTTATATGGCCAAAACATGAAAGAAAAAAAAAACAAATAAAAGTGAAGAAATTAGACCAAATCAAATATTTATTTGACACAAGTTAGTCTAGCAAAATGCTTAATATAGTAAGGCTTTTGAACTGCAAGTACTGGAAAAATTTGTGGTGTTCTGCATAAAAAATAAAGTAGATAATTTAGTAAATATAAAAATACAACCAATCACGTAGCTGAACCAGACTTAGATTTAGTAGTCATAGCAAATCTACCTTTTCTAGCACAATTAGTTGGTGCTAAGGAATCAGGATTCACCTGCCATGGCTCAGACTTCAGGTACAATCGAGTAGGTAAATGGGTAGGCAAATACAGTCAGTGGCTGACATCAATTGTCTTCAAATTAGCTTAAATTTACATTCTTTTTCTGTGTCTATTGGAGCAAACAACTATTTTAAGATATTCAAACAAGAATTTAAACCAGTGATTCTTAACTATGTTTGAGTCACAGACCACCACTGAAAAACCGATGAAAACTACTACTTGGGAATACATTATCACAAAGTGGATATATAGTATGATTATTTAGATTTAACTCTTCAGCAAGAAGGTGAAGGAATAAACTCAGAACAACTTTGAAATAAGACATTCTGTTGATCATTTTTCTGCTTTAATATTGGAAAATGTCATTATTAATCATAATCAAATGACATTTTGAAATTTCTCAGTTTTATAATCTATCACAAAATATTGAAAAATAAAATTTAACTTTAAAAAAATGAATTAGGATTGAAATCTCTTCCTATTAAGAATATTCTCATAGAATCAATAATATTGTTGGTTTAATAGGAAATGGTTTTGACACTGATGGCATTTTTACTGAGAAATATGGCCAGATTTTCTTACAAACAAGATTTAAATTGTGCAGATCAAAAAATTATTTACAAGAATATTTATTTTATATTTAATAAAAGGTTTTCTGCTGAAGTTAAATTTAACATTAATCAGTAAAAAAACAGAAGATACAATAAACCATTTTCATTTTAACTGACTGAGGTACATCTGAAATTCATTTCTTTTTAATCATTCATCTAATTTTAGCAGAAATTGTGACAAGAAACAACTGCTAAAAAGTTTTTCAAGCTGGCTGACATAAAATTTAATAAAAATTACCTTTAGATATATTCATGAGCTTATCACTGATGGTCTAAGTTAAGAATCCATGATTAATTTATCTTCTTAAAAGAGAGTAATTCTCAAAAGATTGCAGTGTAAAATTTAGAATGTTTGAAGGAAACATGGTGAATTGGATATAGGTAAGATCGGATTAAAAACAAAAGTGAAGTGATGGCAAAATGAGTTGTTGATGTAATGATGAAAGCAGTTTTGTTTGGATCAGATTGTATCCCACACTAACAATCAATTTGGCTTTATCTACATCCTACAATAAATTAGTGGAATAAAACTGATTATTGATACTCCAAACTCCATAAACTAATCAGACTAATAACTATCTTTCGGGAGGGTTTTTTTTTTTTTGCACACATGCATTATATATAAAAGCAATAATTATATTGTTTAAAATTTGCTATATTTATGGAGGAAAAGTACCCAATATTGGAAGTAGCTCATATATATAAATATAAACAATATAGATAAAGAAATCAATGCTGCATGGTAACAAGTGATTTCATGTCTTAAACAAACACCAGACAATCATCAGATGATTTAAAAATCACTTAAGACAGGAAACTGCCAGTCACAGTATTCATTTCTATGTTGACACTTATTTACTAGTTTTAACCTGTGAAAATTTCATGGTTTTCCTATTTTAATATCCTGTTGAATCTTAATTCATTTTTTAAGTTAATGATTGAGTAAGCTCATGGCAAGTTCTACAATAATAAAATATACATAGAAATTCCCCTATCGCTTCATTGAATATTTGAGCTTAATAACTTTAACAAAATATTGCAACAACATAAATATGAATGGATGTCATTATTTAAAGTAAGGGTATAAAAATGGAAAGATTTGAAATTAACAACTTTTTGTATTTCACTGAAACAGCTATTAAACATTTCTGTCTTCCCTTCTTTCTTTCTTTGATGTATCATCAGGAAATATTAGACACTTCTAGCTTCCTTTCTTTTATTTCTTTCATTTTCTCACTGAAATCAAGTAGTGATTTTTTTCCCAATTTCACCACAATCAAAACGGTATTGTCCATTATTTATGAAGTATTGGCAGGGCGTGACAGTCATGCAAACTAATGAAGCACAATAGTGTATATATATATATATATATATATATATATATGAGTGAAAGTTCATGACCATAAATAACCCTGAGCATTAACTCTAAACAGGAAGTGCCAGATTTTCCTCCCTCTCCCACTTCCCTTATTGTCAGTGATTACATATCTAGTCTAACTCTGATATTAAGCATTTCTCCTCAATAAATAAAGATTTTAAACACTATATGAGAAAACAAAGAAGCTAAATGAAATTCACTAGACTATATACCTAAACATATATTTAAAAAAAAAAAAAAAATCACTTTAGTACAATGAAGTCCTAAAGGACAAAATGCATCACATGAAAAAATTTTCCCAGTTTGTCATAGATCACACTGTATTTCCTATCCTCAAAGACATGTTTTACAAAGGCTCTTTTCTAGATGCTAGCACAGCTACTCATCCTGGCCTACTAAGTCGATGCTTGTGTTCTCACCTTTGCAACATATTGGACACAGTGTAAGATTTCAGTTCTACCTTTACATGTATCTAATAATAATAATCAAGCTATGTGTATCAGATATAGATATATATGACAATGCAAAAAAATATAATGATCTACAAAAATAAAAGGAACAAAGACAATAACATTAGTTCAAATAAAATGTTAAAAATAGTTTTTATATTCAAAATTACTGACTGCTTAGGGTATTCAGAATTTAAAGAAAAAAATTGCTTAACTTATACACAGTTTATTACATCAGACTATACCACTGAATATATTTATATGTCACCAAAATGGTAAATTTATTTTTAGTTGGACATTAGATTTACCCAAGAAGTGTGTATAGCAGAGCAGTTATTGGCACATAAAGTATGACTGGCATATTGTGTTCATTGACTTTTACAGGTATGAATCCATTTTTCTTGCTACAACTAAGAACTAATAGCGGATCAGTCTTAGTTTTCTAGCTTTGATTGTCAACTTGTCTTGAATTCAAAACACCTGGAGCAGCAACATCTAGTGTGGTGAGGCCATTGTGCCTATACTCAACAAAGAAGTCTACAGGTTTAACAAGGACAATTCGGTATAGATAAGTATCTATAACACAATTTAGAAAGAGAAATTAATTATAATTTAGTTTATCTTAAATAAATTAAAAATCAAGTAAATTAGGATCCAAGAATTCAATCAGATTAAATAACATCAAGTTAGCTCAGATTTCATTGATTTGGTTTCTCAACCTTTTTTGATTGTGGCCCATTTCTGTTGTCAAAAATTTTTCAGGCCCACATAAGCACAAATAGAAATTCCATGAAACAGGAAATATGTTTTATTTACAAAAGCACAATATAGTAGAAAATATAAATCCTGACTAATGACCACACTGCTCCTGGTGTCTATCAGCTTGTTAAGTTAAACTTCCAAGCTCAGGTTTAGTTTTAGGCATAAGTCTCCTCTCTTGTTTCAAATCAATTTGAAAACACAACTTATAAGAAAACATTGAAATTTTTATTTAAATAATTTCTGAATTATTTGCCTTTAAAAATAAATTAAAGCAGTTTGCATTTTAGAATTTTATACCAGTGGGGGAAAAATAGAATTTCAAAGCCCACCTATTTTCCTTGGGACAACTCCAGGCCTATTTTAAAAATTTATTGGACCGATGTGGAGAATCCCTGGTTTATACACTAAGAATTAATAAAGTTTAGCTAATTTATGGTTTAAGATGCTCTGAGAGTACAAAAGTTAAATATCCAGAAGGATTATTTTTAAAAAAAAAGGAAAATAAATAAAGTGAGCCCTCATGATGAAGATAGAAACTATGTCTATAGAAATTGTGTAAAAATACATTAAGCTTTAAAATTAAGATTAATCTATACAATGCTAATCAAATCAAACCCAAAATATTAACATAAAAAATACTGTAAATAGAATAGTTTCTACTACACAGAGATTC